ATAAGTAATAAGACTGCAAAATTTTGCAGTAAAATTTGCATTATTATACTGGTAGTGTGTGAACAATGGCCCAAAGAAAGTATCATTCTTTTTATTTTAAGAGGACTGAGATGAACGGGGTACACGCCCACATACCAGCCGCTAATATTCTGGTGCGACTGGGGATAGACGGGCAAAAATCCAAGGATGAATTTATAAATATTCGACCCAGTCCAATCACTTTCTCCTCAATTAGAAATAACGATATGTAGTGGATTTGTGCAATAATTTCTACAAGGTGCGTATTTGTTCTATCTGTACGGCAAAGACATATAATCCATTAAAAATCAAGTGTTCGAAAAATTTAGGGATGAAAAACCTCCAGGACTGGACCGTAGTCTCACAAAATATGTGTAGCACGCGAGGTTATATCTGGTGCTGTCGACTGGGAAAGAGATTAAGCCAATAAGCAGTGTATCATTAGTTTAGAGTTGAACCCGCGTCGCGGTGCGGATCACTGATCAAATTGGGAAGTAGACGGGATCCTGGTGAATTTATAGGAAAACCTCTTGCTAGGTTGATACCACTCTGCGACCACCCAGTTTATGTAATTCGGATGCTTACTGACAACTGGAAAGTCTATATTCATGTTCCTGTCCGTTATGCCAGTGATTTGCGTTTGCCTTTCTTCTAGGTTCCTGTAAATTAACCTCCTCAGCGTCCTATATTGTTGCGAGGGAGACCTAATCTCTCTTATTCATGTTTCACGTTTCATGAGACACAGAAAAGAAAAGGCTAGGTCATGAGTATGAATGATTTCAAGATCCGGACAACGAGATTAATTAGCGCGGTAGAACGGTATGTAAAATATGTGAAAGTGCCACCAAAATGTGTTCCGAAAAGACCTGAAAATAACTTAGGTACTTTCACTGATGGCTTAAATGCGAACTTATAAAGTGCGACATTTTCTGACAGGTGTTCGCAGCGGGTTAGCAGAAAATATTCGATGGTGTCTAATTGACCCTTTAAGAATGTTTGGCGGGACAACTCTGAGGCAATTAAATTGGCTGCACAAGATGCAAGGAATTACCCCGAGGAGATGTCAGTGAATGTTGAAAGACCTTTGAATTAACAATGAAAAGCTTGGCCGAACTGTATTATCCTCTCAAGAAATATTCGACCGGCAACAGACCAAAATGACTGAAAAAAGCGATAAAAAAGGGGATCTGAAAAAAGCACAAGCGGTGGAAATTATTTATACAAACGGAGGACCAAGAAAAACTTCAAGCATTCAGACAGCAGCGCAATATATGCAAGAGACTCCTCCGAGAAACGCAGCCTCTCATGAACTACGACTCCTGGAATCGGCGGCACGAAAGCCCAAAGCATTCTACCTCTACATCAGAAGTCGTACAAAGAACCGTTACAAGCTCGCAACCACGAAAGACAAAAAGAACGAAACTGTGAGCGATGCCTATCAAAAAGCCATGCTTCTTTCAAAATTTTTCCAAGGAGTACTTCTGAAGAATTAGCGGAAGCGCTTTGTATAATCTTTCAAAAATCGTGCGAAGCTGACAAACTTCCTGAAACATTGAAGTTAGCAAATGTCGGATCCACCCATAAGGGAGGATCACGGGTCTATCCCACGAACTACCGACTGGTCAGTTTGACATGCATTTGCTGTAAACTGATGGAAAGGGTAATTAAAAATCGATGTTATTACTCAATACATTTCACCACCAAATCAGCCCAGTCCAGCATGGTTTCTATGAGAAGCAGTCTTGTCTTACAAACCTTATAACAACGCTCGGACACTGGAAAAAACCATGGATGAAAGACATTCAGTAGATGTTATCTGCTTTGACTTCACCAAGGCGTTCGAACTCGTTCCACATCAGCGCCTCCTC